GCAGGCCCCCCACAGGGCCTGAGCCGCTGGGCCAGCAGCGCAGCCCTGCCGGGGAGGGGGGTAGAGGGGGCGGGGCGTCTGGGGCCAGGGCTGGGGAGGGGGAGGAGGCGCCCCGGCCAGGGGGAGAGGGGCCAGGGGCAGGGGGCGTCAGGGCAGGGGGTGACTGGGTGTCCCCTGGGGGCAGCCCGGCTGGAGCGGGAAGCTCCCACGCGGTGCCGCTTCCCCAGCCCTCGGTATTTGGGGCCAAAATAAGGCCACAGGAAGGTGGGTGCCCGTCCTTTCCTTGGAGAGCGAGGAGAGTGAGAGCCTCAGGAAGTTGCATTTTCCCGTTTGATTTCTGACACTTAAAACTTTCCTTAAAAAGATCCCTGAAGGGGCACCTGGGTGGCTCAGTCATTAAGCATCTGCCTTTGGCTCAGGTCATGATCCCAGGGTCCTGGGATCGAGCCCTGCATTAGGCTCTCTGCTCAGCGGGAAGCCTGCTTCTCCCTCTCCCACTCCCCCTGCTTGTGTTCCCTCTCTCGCTGTGTCTCTCTGTCAAATAAATAAATAAAATCTTAAAAAAAAAAAAAAAAAAAGGTGGGGTGCCTGGGTGGCTCAGTTAGTTAAGCGACTGCCTTCAGCTCAGGTCATGATCCCAGGGTCCTGGGATCGAGCCCTGCATCGGGCTCCGTGCTCGGCGGGAAGCCTGCTTCTCCCTCTCCCACTCCCCCTGCTTGTGTTCCCTCTCTCACTGTCTCGCGCTATCAAATAAATAAAATCTTAGGGGCACCTGGGTGGCTCAGTCCGTTAAGCGGCTGCTTTCAGCTCAGGTCATGATCCTGGGGTCTTGGGATCGAGCCCCACATCCGGCTCCCTGCTCAGCGGAGAGCCTGTTTCTCCCTCTCCATCTGCCTGTCACTCTGCCTACTTGTGCTCTCTCTCTGTCAAATAAATAAATAAATAAATAAATAAATAAATAAATAAATAAATAATCTTAAAAAAAAAAAAAAAGATGCCTGAAGAAGCAGATCTCAGCAGTCCTAAAAGATGAAGGTTGAAGGAAAACAACCATGCACTTTGATTTTGTGTGCTGCTTAAGTCAGGAACTGTTTTTAAAAGAAACATTTTCTTGGGGCGCCTGGCTGGCTCAGTCTCTGGAGCATGGAACTCTAGATCTCAGGGTTGTGAGTTCAAGCCCTACCTTGGGCATAGAGATTCCATAGTACAAACATAAATATTTACAAAAAAATAAGGGGCACCTGAGTGGCTCAGTGGTTAAGCATGGGGTGCTTGATTTCTGCTCAGGTCATGATCTCAGGGTTGTGAGGTAGCGCCCCTTCAGCCTCCTCCCTGGCACTGGGCATGGAGCCTGCTTAAGATTCTCTCTCTCCCTTTGCCCACCCCTCCCCCAATAAATAAAATAAAGTCTTGAAATAAAATTTCTGGACCTGAGGAGGAAGAGAGGAAGGAGATGAGGGAGAAGGAACAGGGAAGGAGGGAGAGGCGGGGGAAGCATTTCAGGGAGAGACAGTGAGAAAGCTCTCTAGAGTCTTTTCCAGAACACTGATTCTGTAGGGTCAGGTTAAGTGATCTCACTTAACCTTAACCGTCTCATTAAAGTTCCATCTCCAAATACAGTCACTTGGTAGTTAGAGCTTCATCATGAATTTTGGGGGACACAATTCTGTCCACAGCACTCACATACACCCAGCTCCAATAAGTTATAAAAAACTTTGCAACCCTTGTTTCATTGATACACCTCATGTTTTGCGTTTTTAAAAATTTTTTTTGTGGTCGCCTGGGTGGCTCAGTTGGTTAAGCGACTGCCTTCGGCTCAGGTCATGATCCTGGAGTCCCTGGCTCGAGTCCCGCATCGGGCTCCCTGCTCGGCGGGAGGCCTGCTTCTCCCTCTCCCACTCCCCCTGCTCGTGTTCCCTCTCTCGCTGTGTCTCTCTCTGTCAAATAAATAAATAAAATCTTTAAAAAAAAAAAAAAATTTTTTTTTGTTAGAATATTTCAAAGAAAATTTCAGACATATAATTTTACATGTGAATATGTCAGCATGTCTTGAAAGGTAAGTTTAAAAAACACACACCCCATTAACACACAGAAATCAACAGTTTTTTATCATCTAATATCCACTCAAATTTCCCTTAAGTAATTTCCCTTTTTAAGTAATCTCTACACCCAATGTTGGCTCGAACCCATGACCCCGAGATCAAGCGTCTCATGCTATTCCAACTGAGCCAGCCAGGTGCCCCTAAGATAGGTCTTTTCTGTTTGCTTTATTTTAAGCAGGACATACACAAGCTCCACGTATTGCATTTGATTGGTAAGGCTTCTACTTCTTTACTTCTTTTAATTTAGAACACTTCTCCTTATCTCTATTTTTATCATGCTATGTTATTGGGTGACATAATTGCTTATTTGTCTTCTAGAATTGAATTCCTCACATTCTGGACTTGACGGACGGTGTAACATGCCCTGCTTTCTCTCCACATTCCCTATGAACCAGTGGTTAGATTTACAAGCTGATTTCGATTCAATTTCTTTTCTTTTTTGTTTTTTTTTAAGATTTTATTTATTTATTTATTTATTTATTTATTTATTTATTTATTTATTTATTTGAGAGAGAGAGTGCATGTGCATGCAGGTGCCCGAGTCAGAGCACGGTGAGGAGGGGAGGGAGAGAGAAAATCCCAAGCGGACTCCTCGCTGAGCTGAGAGCCTGACTCGGGACTTGATCTCATGATGGTGAGATCATGACCTGAGCCGAAGCCAAGAGTCAGCCACCTAACCAACTGGCCCACCCAGGCACCCCTCTGTTCTTTTTGGAAGAGGATTCACAGGTACTCCCATAGCACCTCTCACCGCATCATACCACACACACACACAGTACCTGGCCCTACCTTGAGTGATAACATTGATCACTGGGGGGTGGGTGGGGGTGGGGGGCACCTGGGTGGCTCAGTTGGTTAAGCGTCTGCCTTTGGCTCAGGTCATGATCCTGGAGTCCCAGGATCGAGTCCCGCATCGGGCTCCCTGCTCAGCCAGGAGTCTGCCTCTCCCTCTGACCCTCCCCCCCTCATTCTCTCTCTCAAATAAATAAATAAAATCCTTAAAAAGAAAAAAAAAAGATTGATCACTGGGCTCATTTGGGGGCATCAGCCTGACCCATCCGTTTTAAAGACCCTCTTAACTCTTCATAGAACTCGGTTAGCAACCAATGATGATTATGGCTCAGGGCCACGCTTTCATCGAGGGTTGAAAAATCGTGATCTTCTCAATCTGTTATTCTTTTCCCATCTATTAGTTGGCATCCTATACACAAGAACTTCCCTTCCTTGACTATTTGCTTAATCTGAACTAACTGCTGGTCACTTGCAGCTGTTTGGGTCATGTCCCCTGAGAGAAGGATGGATGGGGGCCAGCCAGAGTGGAGCAGGTCAGCCTGCAAGCAGAGGTGGAGGGGAACACAGCTTTGCTAAAAGAAGTGCAAAGTCAACTGCTTCTATGCCCTAAACTGAAGTTGGCTCTTCCGGGGGCAGCAAAGCAGCAGTCTTAGAATATAAGGTTGCTCGGGCGCCTGGGTGGCTCAGTTGGTTGGGCGACTGCCTTCGGCTCAGGTCATGATCCTGGAGTCCCGGGATCGAGTCCGGCGTCGGGCTCCCTGCTCAGCGGGGGGTCTGCTTCTCCCTCTGACCCTCTTCCCTCTTGTGCTGTCTCTCATTCTCTCTCTCAAATAAACAAATAAAATCTTAAAAAAAAAAAAAAGAATATAAGGTTGCTGAAAGTTCTTGGCTCTGCCAAAGGCAACCTCGTCTCCTCATACTCCTGGCCTTGCTCCCTCAGCCTCCTAGCTACACCTCTAGCACATCACACATCCTCTCACCCCAGGGCCTTTGCACTGATTGTCTGCCCCAGCCATCCACCCAGCTTATTCCTCAGCTTAAGACTCTGCCTAGGGGCGCCTGGGTGGCTCAGTCGGTTAAGCGTCTGCCTTCGGCTCAGGTCATGGTCCCAGGGTCCTGGGATCGAGCCCCGCATCGGGCTCTCTGCTCCGCAGGAAGCCTGCTTCTCCCTCTCCCGCTTCCCCTGCTTGTGTTCCCTCTCTCACTGTGTCTCTCTCTGTCAAATAAATAAATAAAATCTTAAAAAAAAAAAAAAGACTCTGCCTAAATGTCACACTTTCTGAGTCCTTAACATCTTACCTGAAGAGCACCACCAACATCCCAAGTTCCCTGTTATTATTATTCTGTAGCTCTTACCACTATCTGATGCATTATATATCTTTTAAAGATTTGTTTATTTGAGAGAGAGAGAGGGAGAGAGCAGGGGGAGGGGCAGAGGGAGAGGGAGAGAGAGTCTTAAGTAGACTTCAAGCTGAGCATGGAATCCGATGTGGGGCTCAATCCCACGACCCCAAGATCACGACCTGAGCTGAAACCAAGAGTCAGTCACTTAACCAAATGCGCCACCCAGGCGCCCCTGATTCGCTATGTTTTTAACTTATGTTTATTATCTGTCTCCTCCCATGGGAATGGAAGTTCCATGAGGGGAGAAATTTTTCCTTTTGTTCACTGCTAAATTCCAGGAATTCACACATTTACCCATATTTGGATAAATTAATAAATGCTGAAAAAATTTTGCCTCCCACAAGAGCCTATTGTTTCAAATTGCCTCAAAGCAATGACCTTAGGTTAGGGAGGAGATTTCCAAAAAGGGGAGCCCGCACCACCCACAGCCCCGGATTCAGATTACTCACCACAGGGAGCAGCTCTTTCAGCCCACGGGTTCTGTCCCCATACTTTAATAAACCACCATTTTGCACCAAGGACGTCTCAAGAATTCCTTCTTGGTTGTCGGCTCCGGACCTCACCCCACCAAACCTCAACTGTATTCCAAAACCCCATCATATGGTGCCCAAACGCGGGGCTTTGAGTCTTTACATCTGAACTCTGAGCTTCAGTGCAAAGTTGGTGAGCACTTTCTCTCCTCTTCCTTTACTCTCCTTTCAGGGGCCCTTCAAGGAGTACGGTCTTACTGGAACACTTTCACGCCGATTGCTCAGGCTCCAAACCTCTAGCCTGTGGCTACTCTACGGGGAGGAGAAAGCCTGCCTTTTGGCTGGAAGTGAGTACCTTGCCAGATGGTAGTAAGACCCAGAAACTTGATGCCCTCTTTTTACTGCTGTCCTTATACAAAGTCGTCTATCTTGGGCATGGGACAGCCACCTAAGTCACCAGGACAGCTGCCAATCTTAAGACTCCCATGTGAGAGTTCTTCCTGATTGATCTAATGTGATCCCCTTCACATCCCTGATCTAGCTGCTTCTGGCCACGGGACCTCCACTGGGAGCCGGCCGAAACCAGCACCCGATTGAATTAAAACCCAACTGGGGACTGTTTGTAGGGAAGTCGGCTGTAAGGACTACATGTGTTGGAATGTCGCTTAGAATCATGGTGGATTTCTATCTTTACTGTTTTCCGTCAGTGTCCTCTACTAATTACTTAAATTACAAAATTCGGTAATTTTCCCATTGTAAAACTTTTCTAGTGTTCTCCATGGGTTAAAAGCGGCAGGTTCTTAAAGGCAAGATCAAGGTAAAATACCTTCAAAGCAGGTAAAGGCGTGACCTTCATCCATGACCTTCAAGGCATGATATTTCAGTCCTAGGATGCAATGGGAAAGCGGGGGCAGGGCAGGCCTCCCTGTTACAGGGGCCTTTAACTGCAGCAGTGATCATAGCGATTTTGTTCAGGGACGCCTCGGGTCGCTATGACACCAGGAGCTTCTGACATATCCTGCGCATGGGACACCACCCGGGAGTCGGGGGGATTTTCTAGGTAATGGACCTTCTCTTTTCTTTGGTTCCCAAGGACTCCCCCTTGGGGTGCCTTTTAACCCACTGGAAACAATTTGGATTGCAAAACTTAGGAAAGGACTGAGCTCCTGTAACACAGCATGGGCTCAGTGGGGTCTATCGGTTAGATCTCCTCTGCAGGAAACAGGGCACGTGGACCTAGGATACCTTCATTGCTCATACCTAGGCCTTCATTGCTCTACACCAGGACCCTGACCTAACAGCCTCTGGAAGAATGTGTTTGCCCTAATGTGTCAGCTTGTAACCCCCACCCCCGCCAACATATTAGATGACAATTATCTAAATAGGCCTCCTCTGAGGAAACCCAGGTTGCTGGAGGAAACACGGACCATTCCAGACGAAGGGGACGCTTGACTCTCTCTCTCTCACTGTTCTTCCTAATAGATGTGGGGGCTTGTCCCTCATTCATTGCTTGAGTTAATGGCTATAACTGGAGCAGACTGTGGTTAGTCTCCCTCAGGACAGGGACTTTAAGGAATATTCCCAAGCAGCTGCTGAAACTCGCTTTGTTTCGGGCAAGTTCCCTGTCTTCTCTGGCCTGACTTGGACGGCCTATTTCCACTTGTTGGCAGGAAAACATGGCATCTGTGCCTCTGTTGGAGCTGATGAGCTCTAGAACCAGGAACGCTTTCTCTGCCTTCTGGCAACACTTTGCCTCTTCTGTGTCCCCCTCCCCCTTCTTCTTTCTGCACCACCTTGGGTTGCAGCCTGCATAGCTGGCTTCCAGACCATCCTCAGTGCCTCAGGCACCATGGCTCCTTCCCTCGCTCTCAAGGAGCAAGAAGAGCACTCCCTGGACTTAACACCGCTCACTCCAGATTTCCCCACCAGTGTTTCAGGTAAAAACTGAAAATGGAGTGGGCCCAGGTGGAATATAATTCAATATTTAAGGTTGTTGGTTTAAGATAGACCTTTAAAGTTATCAGCACTAAATGCAAAACTTTTATCCTACCAAGAATAAACCACAACCACTAAAGTCCTAGAAGCTAAGGCATTACCAGCTGGATGGTCAGCTCAACGGGCTGAATTATATGCCTTAGTGCGAGCCCTCACCCCTGGTGAAGGCAAATGAGTCAACATCTACACTGACTCTCGACACGCCTTCGCTACGTACATATACACGGAGCCACCTACAAGGAAAGGGGCCTCCTAACCGCCACAGGAAAAGCTATCAAGAACAAGGAGGAGATACTGAGACTCCTCGAAGCCGTCTGGCTTCCAAAGGAAGCAGCAATCCTGCACTGTAAGGGACACCAGAAAGGAGATGACCCCATAGCGCGGGGAAATCATCTGGCAGATGAGGCAGCCAAGACCTCAGCCAGTGAGGACACGGACAGAGCCCCTTCCCTCACCATGGCCCTGACACCCCCGGAAGAAGTCCCCCCGCCCAGTTAACACTGAAAAGGAAAAAGAACAGGCCATGGCTGAGGGAGCCGCCCTGACTGAAAAGGGATGGTGGATGATGCCAGATGGACGAATCTTTGTTCCGACAGCAACTGAAGGGCATCTAGTCAAGGAACACCACCAACTCACTCATCTGGGGAAAACTGCATTAGAGGCCCTTCTCAAGAAGCACCACTACCTCAGTCAGCTGCCAGCACTATGCCGAGCACCGAGTGAACGGTGCCTAACATGTGCTAAACATAATGCTCGGTCTGCACCACGGCCCCCGCCAGGTGTCCGGAGGATGGGAGCAACCCCCTTCGAAGATCTAGAGGTAGACTCCACATATGTGCAGCCAAGCAGGGGGTTCAGATATCTCCTAGTAATAGATGCACATACTCTGGGTGGGTCAAAGCCTTCCCGACCAGGACGGAGCAAAGCCAGGAAGTAGCTAAAGTCCTCTTGCGGGAGATCGTGCCCCAGTTCAGCCTGCCATTGACAATCCATAGTGACAGCGGACCCACATTTGTGGCAGACATTGTGCAGGTGTTGACCAGATCTCTCAACATCACCTAGAGACTCGACACCACTTACCGGCCCCAAAGTTCAGGGAAAATAGAGCAAATGAATCGCACCCTCAAGGGAACCTTAGCAAAGTTTTATCAGGAGACTAACCTCCCATGGCCGCATCTGCTACCCCTAGCTCTCCTGCGTGCTCGCTGCACGCCCGGGACATCAGGTTTCTCCCCGTTTGAATTAATATACGGATGGCCTCCCCCATGCTTGCTTGGGAAGCCTTCCAGGAAACTTGCATCAGGTTGGAGATAAAGGGATAAAGGAGCAGCCTCAGGCCCTGGGGGCCACCCTAAATAAATTACAAAAGTATACCATTGAGAGGGCCCCAATCTCCTTTGGGTCTCAGGTGCACTCCTTCCAGACAGGGGACTCAGTTGGGTCAAAGATTGGAAGAAAGACCCCCTCAAACCACAGTGGAAAGGGCCCCACACTGTTTTTCTAACCGCCCCTACTGCCCTCAAGGTCTCAGGTGTCACCCATGGGTCCACCACTCCAGAGTGAAGAAAGCTCATCATTTGGACGAGAAGCCGTGCCAGTGGAGAGTCCAGCCAGACTTCACAAACCCACTCCGGCTTCACCTTCGGTGAGACCCCACTGACTGATGGACACCTGCTCACCGTGGTCCCTGGCTCTCATCGGCGTGATTGCCCTCGTCTTGGGAGTCAGACTCTACACTGTTGCCCCTCCTGACTGGACTTTCCCCCAGAAGCTTACTATTGTCATTGCTTATTGGGGGTCTCTAGGCTGTATTACTGCACTTACTTGTCCTCGGGTTTCATCTGCTGATGGGTTAGCCACAATGGCTCCCTCTACCTAAGGTCAAAGATCCCACTTTTACTGGCCTCGGTCCTCCAAAACAGGCACGGGCTGGACTTGCTCACGGCTGTGCAAGGGGGGCTCTGCCTCTTCTTACAGGAGGAATGTTGTTTCTATGCTAATGAGCTGGGGTGGTCCAAGAAACTCTGACCCAGCTACAGGAACGAGTACATCACCGGTGGGAAAACTCCAGCAGACAACTTGGTGGGATACCGTCTCACAATGGTTCCCTTGGTTCGCCCCCCTCGTCGGCCCCCTCCTATTGCTTCTCCTCATAGTAGCATTTGGTCTTTGTATTCTTAATGCCCTTACTAGGTTTATCACTACTCAAATTGCTAAAATCAGACTCCAGTTACTCCTTACTCACTATCGCCCCTTAGAAGATGAAGATGGTGGGCGCCTGGGTGGCTCAGTTGGTTAAGCGACTGCCTTCGGCTCAGGTCATGATCCTGGAGTCCCTGGATCGAGTCCCGCACTGGGCTCCCTGCTCAGCAGGGGGTCTGCTTCTCCCTCTGACCCTACCCCTTCTCATGCTCTCTGTCTCTCATTCTCTCTGTCTCCAAAAAAAAAAAAAAATCTTTAAAAAAAAAGATGAAGATGGTGACCTCTAAACTAGGTGTTTAAAGGGGCATCAAAGGGGGGAATAAGGAAAATCTGTGTCCTAAGATGGCCGACCGAGCCAGCGAGAGAGTCCCAGTCCTTGCCACTTCCGGGTTCTTCTTCCTGCTCTGCTTCCCGCGCGCACCAATCCGGGTTCTTCTCCCTGCCCCGCTTTGCGCAGGCGCCAAAAGTGCCAAGTATGCGGAAGTAGAAGTGTATAAATTGCCCCCTTTGTGCTCGGGGCTCAGACCTTCGGAGACCACGCTCCTCTGAGCCCGCGGGCCTTAAATAAACCTCCTAGCCTCCAAGATCTCGGAGTGCCGCTTGGTTCTTGCGTCGGGCGATCCAGTCCAGGTTCTGGAACACTAGGAACACTAATCTTAATGCATTGTCTTTTTCAGTATCTCTCCGCTTGGTGTCGAGGTCCCATCCCTACAATGCCCTCTCGTAACTCCCCTATGTGTTCCCCAACTGACCAATAGTGACCCATAGGTAGGGACATCTCTACGCCCCTATTGAGCAGGAAGACGTTACAGAACATGCGACCTTCCACCTTCACCACCTTCCACCTAACCACCTTAAAGATTTAAGGGTCAAAATTGTTCAGGGCGGGGAATGATGGAGCAGAAGGCTAGCTGAAGACAAAGCCCAAGCTGACACCCTGCAACCTGCCCCCACCCCCCAGGGTGGGAAATGTGTGGCATTCTTCCAGGGATGTCCCAACTATCTTAATGTTAATACCTTGCTAGAGGGGAAAACAACCTTACCTTGACAATGTTAAGGCCTCTGGTATCTTGTAGGTCGGTCCTCTTTAGCATATGAAAGTTCTTTTGAAATCTCCCTTTTCCTTACTTCCTCCAAGTCCTGACTATGTCATCACCACTCCTCGAGACCCCAGTGCTGCAGCTCTTTCTGCCCACAGGTCCGGTCCCTGGGCTTTAGTAAACCACCATTTTGCACCAAAAAGAAAAGAAAGATTACTCTCCACATAATTCTCAAATCAGGTGTCCATCTGCCAGCTCAGCTAATCCACTTACTACCTGATTCGACCCTGAAACAATTTCATAGTCTTTCTGTTTGGGGTCACCATATCTAATTGGACCCACAATTGCCCTCTGACTTTCTCTGGCTCTAAAGTCACTGCTGCTAAGGTCAAACAAGTCGGTTTCTGTTAGTTGAAACAAGAGTTAGATCAGATGCTCAGACTTTAATTTCCTCTTGAATTCTGTCACTTTCTAGAGTCTATAAGCTCCTTTCAGGCATAGACCTTTCCTCAGCTGTTGTCCAGAGAGCCCCTAAAGCCCAGCTTAGAGCCTAGCTCACCGTGGGCACTCCTGACTTCCCTTACCCCATGCTGACTCTGTGATCCAGCAGTCCCACCCGTCTGAACTGGTCACTCCCTCGCAGGCCTTCCTGAAACTATCCCCGTGTTCCTTCTGCTTCTCAGCCAAACGCTCCCTGTCTGTACTTGCTCACCTCCCCTACTTCCACACCCTCCAGGGTGCTGGCTCAGCACCAGCCCTGCCCCTGAACCAACCTCACCGAGGCAGAACCATCAGCTTGACTTATTGCTGCCTCGGACATCTCAGGAAGAGCCCACCACTCCCTGGACCCTGAAACGTTTCTTGCCTTTGCTTCCTGGATGCCCCCCTGTTTCTCCAGCCCCTCTGGCCACCCCTGCTAATGTACCCCTTTGGGCCTCAGGTTTCTCTCTCCTCACTTGGAGCACCATGTCCCTGGGGCGCCTGGCTGGCTCTGTTGGTAGAGCAAGCCACTCCTGATTCTGGGGCTGTAAGTTCGAGCCCACCCTGAGCGTAGAGATTACTTGTAAACACAATGTCCCAGGCAGTCTCATCCATATGCAGAGTTTATGTGCTTCACATCATCTCATCCTCTCCTGATGGCCTGGCTTAAACTGGGCACAGGCCCCTCAAGATCCAGAGCTCATTCTTCTGTGTTGCCTTCTGAGTGGCTCCTGCCTTTCTTCCTACAGCTGCCTGAACCCCAAACAGGGCATCTCCCTTGACCCCTCCCCTTCCATCATCCCTACAGCTCATGGCTCATTGACCACCTTGGACTATGAGTCTGGGTCCTACATGATTAGCTTTTTCTCTCCAGCCCCGAGTCCATTCACTGTATTTGAGACTTGGGCTCCAGGTACTCCTGACCATCACCACCTCACGCTGGGATTTCTAGCAGTGCTTTCTAAACTGGCTCCCGAATTGCATCCCCCACCTAGAGCCCTTTCTCCCCTGTGCAGTTGGGGTTCCTTTCTGTGAGCCAACCTGGCTGTGCAGATCTGCTTAGAGCCAGGCACCATCTTCCTATGACTTTGGGGATAAATCTTAGCTCTGTCGCCAGATTCTTCCAGATTCTTCATGAAAGAGCCCCTGCCTGCCTTCCAGCCTCCTCTGATATCTCTTACCATTCCATCCACATTCGCCCCTGCTCCAGCAAACATATTCTTTCAGTTCCTCAAACATCCCTCCAACTTACCCCCAGCCTTTTACCTGGAATGCTTCCCGATGCTTCCTGCCCACCTGTGCTTCAGTTCTGAGCCTGGAGACCACCTCCGCTACCCCTGACCCCTGCTGCCACTTGCTCATCCCCAAAAGTCAGGTTTCCCCTCCTGAGTTCTCATAGTTGTCTGTACTTATCACTGCGGTTCCGATGCTTGTTTTGTCCATTTCCTCACTAGACCTTGAAGACGGAATTACATCCTGTTCATTGGTGTGTCCATGGTGCACCTAGAAGGCTTTCAAAATACTTCTTCAAATAATGGGATACACTAAATTTAGAAGGAAAAAAAGTCAGGGTTGTTGGACAGGTTTATTGAAACGGAGCCATTTTGCCCCAGTTAGAGTAAATGACTTCTGGTACAGGCTGTGGGACATCTCTCCGACCACAAGTTCCCATCGCCAAACCAGGACAGACGAACATCTGTTCATTTGGGGATAGATTTCAATGTTCAGCTGCAGTCACACATGGGCTCTGTGGCTGGATACAGCTCAGGCTCTCTGGAACGTCTGTTTGCACACTTGGCCTTCACAGAACATTTCCTAGGGACATGGAGGAATAGGAGGAGAAAGAAGATGAGTGGGCATGCAGGCTATTATTATTATTTATTACTCACAACACTTTTGATTCCAAATACGTGGTGTCTTTTCCAACTGGGTGTCCAACAATTCAATTCGATTCTGATACTAGCGACCCAGAGCTAGCACAGACCCCACAGGTTAAGTAAGGCTCAGTCTCAAAAACTGCTCCCACTTCAGACATCAGTTCCAAGTCCCAGGCTACGCGAACTTCTGACGGACCAGCTATGAACAGGATTCCCATGACCCCCTCCTCAGGTTCAGTAATTTGCAAGAACGGTTCACTCTTTACATTACAGGTTTATTATAAAGGATACAAGTCAAGAACAGCCGAATAGATGCATAGGACACAGTATGGGGGTGGGGGTGCGTGTGCGGACCTTTCATGCCCCTTTCAGGAATGACGCTGTCCCAGCACATCAATGTTTTCACCAACTAGGAAGCTCTCCAGACCCTCTCGTTTAGGGGTGTTTGTGGAGGTTTCATTACATAGGCATGATTGATTAAATCTTTGGCCATCTGGGAGACCCCAATCACCAATCATCTCATTAGCCTACAGGAGACACTCATTAATTACTCTGGAGATTCCGAGGGTTTTAGGAACCACGTACCAAGACCAAATACTTATTTTGTATTATATCACAGCATGGAGAGATTGCCCTGTGAGTATCCTCAGAGGAAGGCTCCTTCTATTCTCTGCTTGGGCAGAGTTCATGTATATACCAAGAAGGATGCATGCAATTTGAACATTACTTCTTACAGCCAACTCACCTGTATATCCTCAAACGTATTTGTGTTTTCCTTGAAGTTCCATATTACATTTTTGTGATGGCAAGTTTCTTAATTTTGTTTCAATTGTCAGAAGAGTGTAAGATTTATCAATCTAGAATCAAAATATCTTTGTTTTTTTTTAAAGAATACTCCTCACCCAACCTGGGGTGTGAACTCATAACCCCGAGATCAAGAGTCACATGCTCCATGTCTGAGCCAGCAAGGCGCCCCCAAAATCAAAATATATTCAATGCCTTTGTAATCAAAGACTACCCAGACCCTCAAAGACCACCCACATCCAATTCTAAGATAAGTGCTCTAATTTTGTTTTCATGGGTCCGGCTTAGATTTCCATACATTAAGGTAAAAAGGCATAGAGTTGAAAGCACACATTTTTATCAGATCTGGATTTGAATCTCTACTTGGCAGCCTTGGGGAATTTCTAAATCTCAGTCTCTTCATTTGTAAATGGAAAAAATAGTGTCCCTTTCACAGAATTGTCTTGAAAACCAACTTAGATAATGCATACAAAGATTTAGCACAGTAATTGAGCGAAAAATCATCACTCGAAAAATGTAAGCCGTTATAATACATATGGCAGGAAGCAATTTTCATTTAAAAAGGCATAATTAGGGGCACCTGGGTGGCTCAGTCATTAAGCGTCTGCCCTCAGCTTGGATCATGATCCCAGGGTGCTGGGATCGAGCCTCGCGTCGGGCTCCCTGCTCAACGGGAAGCCTGCTTCTCCCTCTCCCAATCCCCCTGCTTGTGTTCCTGCTCTTGCTCTCTCTCTCTTTCTGTCAAAAAAATAAAATCTTTTTTAAAAAAAGCCATAATTAAGCCTTGATGTACAATTTTATACCTTCTCTCTCTCTCTCTCTTTTTTTAAGTAGGCTCCACGGCCAGTGTGGAGCCCAATGTGGGGCTTAAACTGACAACCCCGAGATCAAGACCTGAGCTGAGATCATGAGCCGGACGCTTAACCGACTGAGCCACCCAAGCGCCCCTATACCTTCTGAATTATATTTCAAAATTATTGATTAGCTTGAGCTATAACTAGTATGTTCATGAAGTGCTGGTGACATCAGCAAGGAGACGATCTTTTGGAAGTAAGGCCACTAAGTAGAGAGCGGCCGTGACGTGCTCTGACAATGCTCCTCTCTGTGAAGTCTTCCTCAGGAAGTAAATCCACGGATGCAAAAGGCTCTACTTACATGAAGTTAAGCAATAGCAGAAAACACCCTAAAAACAATACTCCTGGACACTGAGATTATGGAATTGTTTTCTAAAAATGAATAGTTCACCAACCTGATAGAATATTATGAAGCCAGTTTGCTACCTTATTTTATATATATAAAATATATATATTAAGGTAAATGTAATATACGTATATATTATCTATAAGAACTATGTTTTTTTTCTTTTTCTTTTTAAAGGTTTTATTTATTAATTTATTTGAGAGAGAGACTGAGAGAGAGCACAAGCAGGAGGCGCGGAGAGGAAGAAGCAGGCCCCTCATGGAGAAGGGAGACTGACCCGGGGCTCGATCCCAGGATCCTGGGATCACGACCTGAGCCAAAGGCAGACACTTAACCGACTGAGCTACCAAGGTGCCCCTCTATATTTTTTTCAGTTAATACATGACGAATTCAACAGGAAAATTATTTTGAAACCTGGAATATGTTCTGTCGTAAATGAAAAAGACTACTTCACCAGAGACTGGAAGGTAACATGCCAATTTGAAAACAGCGGGTTGGAATGGTGGGAACACTGTCATGGTTTAATACTGTATCATCTCATGGGACGTAAGAACAAAATGTGGCAAGTACCAGGTGAAGTTTGTCCCCTTCGATCCAATGGGTCCAGCCTCGGTTCTTCTTCTCCCCCTTCTGGACACAGGTGAGTCTGTCATTGTCCCAGGTGACCAGGCTCTGCATGAGAGAGGGGAGAAGAGGCTGGTTTGCCCTGGCAGACTCCTCAACGGGTACTAAGAAGGCCCAGTTAATCTTGCAAAATCAAGAGCCTGTGTTATCATTTGAATTTTTTTTTTTTTACCTTGCATTTCCTGTTATCCAGGCCTTTATTATCCTCATCAAATTCTTCTCCAACTTTAAATGTAACAAAGTAGTTCCTCAGGCTGCTGTATGTGTGGATGGTAAAAGAATCCCCATCTTGCTCAATCACTTTCTGTGGCTTCAGCAGCTTGGCTATCTTACGAGTAGCAAAGTCAATACCTTCGAAAACAATTTTTAAAAAAGAAATCTCAACATTCACTCGAGATGCGAAAGCTAAGAATTTGGCAGCTGTCCTCAGACCATTGTATTTCTTTTTTTTTTTTTTTTTAAGATTTTATTTATTTATTTGACAGAGACGCAGCGAGAGAGGGAACACAAGCAGGGGGAGTGGGAGAGGGAGAAGCAGGCTTCCCTCCGAGCAGGAGCCCGATGAGGGGCTCGATCCCAGGACCCTGGGATCGTGACCTGAGCTGAAGGCAGATGCTTAACGACTGAACCACCCAGGAGCCCCAGAACCATTGTTTTTCATCACTAGTGTTTCTTTTGTAATTTCAGTGCTGCTTGCTGCCGAAATTGGATCTGTAGGGAGTTGTCCTGGTAAAACTCTATCCAGAGGCTTGATTAAAAAGCTTGAACACGGGCGCCTGGGTGGCTCAGTTGGTTAAGCGACTGCCTTCGGCTCAGGTCATGATCTGGAGTCCCTGGATCGAGTCCCGCATCGGGCTCCCTGCTCGGCAGGGAGTCTGCTTCTCCCTCTGACCCTCCCCCCTTTCATGTGCTCTCTCTCATTCTCTCTCTCAAATAAATAAATAAAATCTTAAAAAAAAAAAAAAAAGCTTGAACAGCTTTCAGGGAAGAGTCATTGGCTGGCTGTGCCTTAGGTAATGGATCTGAAGCGGGGCCTGGAAGAAGCAGTTCTGGGAGTCACCCCAGAGGCAGAGAAGAGGACAAGGAAGCCAAGGGGACGGGACTCACGCCCCAACCCAAACTCAAACACAGCAACTCAGCCTTTGTCTGCTTTATGTATTTACACTTTGGATTAAGACAGTATTTGTTAGAGACAACGGATGCATCACTGAACTCTACCTCTGAAACTAATAATATACTATAGTTAATGAATTGAATTTAAATAAAAATTTTTTAAAAAATTTAAAAAGCATTTGAACAGGGGCACCCGGGTGGCTCAATCGTTAAGCGTCTGCCTTCAGCTCAGTTCATGGTCCCAGGGTCCTGGGATCGAGCCCCGCATCGGGCTCCCTGCTCGGCGGGAACCCTGCTTCTCCCTCTCCCACTCCCCCTGCTTCTGTTCCTGCTCTCGCTGTGTCTCTGTCAAATAAATAAAATCTTAAAAAAAAAAAAAAAGCATTTGAACAGTTTCTAAACAACAAAAAAGGTCGAAAGCCACTGTAAATATGCATATACTACTATCCCTTTAGAATTTTTTTTTCTTTTTTTAGATTTTATTTATTTGACAGAGAGAGGGAGAGAGCACAAGCAGGGGGAGCAGTAGGAGAAGGAGAAGCAGGCTCCCCTCCAAGCAGGGAGCCCCATGCGGGGCTCGATCCCAGAACACAGGGATCATGACCCAAGCCGAAGGCAGATGCTCAACCATCTGAGCCACCCAGGCGCCCCAAAATCTTTAATAAACCTTAAAACAGGGGCGCCTGGGTGGCTCAGTCATTAAGCGTCTGCCTTTGGCTCAGGTCATAGTCCCAGGGTCCTGGGATCGAGCCCCACATCGGGCTCTCCGCTCAGCGGAAAGCCTGCTTCTCCCTCTCCCACTCCCCCTGCTCGTGTTCCCTCTCTCTGTGTGTCTCTCTCTGTCAAATAAATAAATAAAATCTTAAAAAAATAAATAAAATAAACCTAAAACGAAGTCACACACAGAAGAAACATGGCATGCTGAGAATATCCAGGTTTTGATATAGACAGTGGATTTGAACCCCATTTCCCATTTAGTAGTTTTGAGCACATTATGTAGCTAGAGGTAACTGTTGCTGTTTTATTTTACTTTTTTTTTTTTTTTAAGATTTTATTTATTTATTTGAGACACAGAGATAGAGAGAGAGAGGGAACACAAGCCCGGGGAGTGGGAGAAGCAGGCTTCCCGCTGAGCAGGGAGCCCGATGCAGGGCTCGATCCCAGGACCCTGGGACCATGACATGAGTGAAGCGCAGACGCCTAACGACTGAGCCACCCAGGCGCCCCTACTTTATTTATTAATTAAGTAATCTCTATGCCCAACTTGGGGCTCAAACTCAAAACCCCATGATCAAGAGTCACATGCTCTACTAATTGAGCCAGCCAGGCACCTGTTGCTATCTTAAGTAGGGTAGCCAGATGACACTTCGGGCAAGAGCTAAATGAGGTGAAGAAGCAAACCACGCAGATTTCTGGGGAGAGCGTAAGGCAGAGATCACAGGGAGCCCAGGGACACCAAGGAAGGGTATGCCAGATGGTTTCAGGAACCACCAGGAGCCTGGGGTGGCTGGAGCAGAGTGAGGGAGATGAGGAGTGGAGAGGATCAAGAGTTGAAATGTGGGGTACCATAAGGACCACTGGGCTCTAACTCAAGAAAATGTAGATGGGTGCCACTGGACTATTAGGTGCAGGTGACATGGTCTAATAGGCAGTCAGGCACTACTTGACGCTGGCTCATCACCTAGACATTTCCATGAGCCACAGAGCATGCATGGTTCTCCCATTTAGGATTATCCTACTATGTAAAATAAAGTTCCAAGAATCTTCATTTCGGAGAATTACATGCCTCAATGAAGGTAGTTTGGTTCCAGAGTTGACCCCTGTTTCATTTTTTAATTTTTTTTTTAAGGTTTTTTTTTTTTTTTTTAAGTAATCTCTACATCCAACGTGGGGCTCGAACTTACAACCCTGAGATAAAGAGTCGCACGCTCCACCGACTGAGCCAGCCAGGTGCCGATCCCCATTTTAATTTGTTTGCCTAACAGATTTCATTTTCATCCGACATGAAACTGCCACCCAGGGCTTCCCAGAAAGCTTTTCCAGTCCAGAAAACTTGGCCAAGCACAGAGCAGGGCTCCTTCATCATCTCATTAGCCCCAAAAGAATATAAATGTCCTTATTTTGAGAAAACTCTTTTTTTTTAATACACCTAGAATGCAACGTTTTAGCTTGAGCTGCAAATGATCCAGTCTTTACTGGTTTTCAGCAATCTTTAAGCACTGAGGCTAAAGCCTTAAAATACTTATCTCATTATTAAACAGACCAAGCCAAATTTAAAATAGTTATTGCTGACTTTCCTTAAACCCTATTCTGTAAGTCAAACACAACCAACCAACCCAAGAAACAAAAAACAAACTTTAGATTATTACTTTACATCAGTTATACTTTTAAAATCTGTGAGCCCCACACTGGGTGTGGAGATTACTTAAAAAAAAAAAGAAAATCTGTGAAGTGATTCATTGCCAGTAACTTTATAATCTGTACTACAATGTTGTAATTGTTACTTAGGGCTTGTCGTTTTAAAGATGAAAATTTATTTTTTTTTTAAGATTTTATTTATTTATTTGAGAGAGAGAGCACGAGCGGAGGGGTAGGGGCAGAGGGAGAGGGAGAAGGAGATTTCCCATTGAGCAGGGAGCCCCACAAGGAGCTCGATCCCAGGACCCCGGGATCATGACCCAAGCTGAAGTCAGATGCTCAACCAACTGAGCCACCCAGGTGCCCTTTAGGATCAAAATTTAAATCAGCTTAACGTCTGGTCAATTTCTGCCAGTCCACGTTTGCTGTGACCTCAGTGGTCCAAATGGCTTTGTGCTCATAAGGCTTTTATCCAGGCAAGCCATGCTTTTCCATACCATTAGGTTTTTACGTAGGAAATAAGACATTCATGCAGAAGGAAGAGATGATCTAGCTATTTTGCATTCCATTACAAGTGTGTGTGTGTGTACCCTTTAGGGCAGGATCTCAAAGAAGCCGACAGACATATACTTTTCTAAACTTCATCTGTTCACATTAACCCTTAATCCCAAAGCCACTTCTAATCTTGAGGCAACGTGGGTTTTGGAGCCAAGAGAAATTGGTTTTAAATCCCAGCTTACATGGTGATCTTGGGCAAGGTGATCACACCACCACCTTCTCGTAGTCATCAGGATTAAGGAGGAGGATAGGGACAGAATGGTGAACACCTGCAGCCATTAGCAGCTGGTTCCTTCCTGCCTGGAGCTTCACACTCTGGGTCTTCCTTGGCCACTGTGGGGTCCACCAGGAACTCCCAGCCCCCAGGCTAGCTCCTCCAGACTTTTTTTTTTTTAATTTGAGAGAGGGGTGGGGAGAGCACAGAGGGAGAGGGAGAAGTAGACCCCCCCCACACACTGAGCAGAGTGCCCGATGTGGGGCTCAATCCCAGCACCCAGAGACCATGACCCGACTGAAGGCAGACGCTTAACCAACTGAGCCACCCAGGTTCCCCACCCTCCTGATTTAGATAGTTTGCCTCCACAGATCCCATAATTGCCTTTTTAACTTAGGAGCCCTGCTTTCTGTGCCCATGAAACCTATATAGGTTGCCCTACCGTCCTCATTTCTTTGAAAGTGAAATGCTGGTAGTTTAAGTTGATGACTATTTAATACCTCTGTCAAGTTGCATGTATTAAACACACACCTAGTGTGTGCAAAGCCCTAGGGCAGGGGAGGTGCCCTCCCTCTGCACTGGAATAGGAAATCTCAGACAGCAGGCACTTTCTTTGCTTCTTTATATACCTTCCCCCTGCCCAGCCCCTAATACACAGGAAGTGCCTAAATGATATTAATTAATGGATTAAAGCTGGAGGAGATTCCTGGAGTTTGTTGAACAGTAGCTTTAAGGAGAGACACTTTCTTATCGGCTGTGGTACGACCTTCCCTCTCTTCAGGCAAATGACATATTTAAATACCTTTTACTGGGGGTGGGAGTAAAGGGTAGAGAGATCAAAGTTATAAATGCGCTTATAACCAAGAAGGGGGGTGAAAACAGAATAATCAAAGTCTCCCTTTAAGAGGAGAATCTGTTCCAATTAAAGGAAAATTGAAAACAATCTTCCTTTTTTAAAAGATTTTATTTATTTATTTATTTTATTAAATAAATAAAATCCTTCTATGTGCTATGTGCTTATTTTTTTTTTTAAGAATCTAAACGTAAGACATTGTATAATTTACTAAGCACTTTGTTAAGTTAAATATTCAGCCAGGACAGAGATCTC